TTTTCCGATGATCTTCAATCTAAGAGTCTGAAAATTGTCTTTTGGTGTCTTTTTTTTTTCTTTGGTGAATAACTAATGTATTGAGTCGTTTAAACCAAAGTCTTCGACTCAAAAAAAGCATAACAGCATCTTGCCAAATTACTTCATATTCATGAATATACCAATTATTACTTACGCATGCTATGATACTTTTTTTTTGGATAAGTCATGCTTTGATACTTTCTAGATGCTTTACACTCATCTTTGCTTCCACTAAAAGGAAATTTAAAACGTGTTTAATTAAATATTTGATATATAAGAACTAAAACAATTTACAAGAAGGAAGCTGATTACTATTGAAGAGATGGAGCCACAAATAGTCAATTGCTGGAAGGATAGCATGCTTAGAACCGTGTCGTAATGTCCAGGTAAAGATAAGTTGTAGAGATGAAGCTCAGAGGCTTTAGAACTGGGAGTGTACTAGGCAAGGTTATAGGGCTCGACTCTTTAGCTTCACCTCCATTGGGAAGGTGCAAAAGGTCTCCAAATTCTCCAAGGTACCCTTGACATAAGAGTTACTTGCAGTTACACTCTCACATGAAGACTCGTGCTCAAGCATAGCATTCGAATAGAATGCTCGTACATGCATCAATAAGGGAACATATTTGAGGCCCGACTCTCAGAATGTTCTCTCCTCGGAGCAGCCAAATTATTGAATGTGTGGTGATGATTTGAAAGTAGTCTTAAAAGAGTGTTTTTAGACTACAAATAATTAAATACTTATAATTATGTTTGTATTTTAAATTGAAGTAAAATTTAGTATAGAATCAACTATACGTGAAAAAGGTTAAAGCAATTTGCGACGTTTAAAATCAGTACTTTTAAAAAATTATATCGTCTTACTTTTAAAAAATATAATAAAATATACTATATATACATACACGAACAATTTTCTATTTTAAATGCATACAAACATCATATATATAACTACAAATAGTTTTTTTTCATATGCATACAACACATTTAAGGGTGTTTTGTTCACATAATGTATGAGAATGTATGATTACCATTGAGAATAAAATTATCAGAATATTACATTATTTAACACATTACTAGAATATTACATTATCTTGTTTGGTTTGTTTAATAAGAATATAAAATTATAGTATTTGACGGAAAGAATATTTGATAAAAAAATATATGATAAAAATATATATGTTTTACCAAATTGCCCTTGAAATAATTTTCTTGAAAGTTCATAGAAAATATACTTTTTATTATTTCTAATTTATATATTTTAATAAATTTAAATAAAAAAAATTTAATATATATTTTTATTACATTTAATTTTTAATAAAATTATTTATATATTTTTAATAAAATTTCTACATAAATAACTTAATATATATTTTTATAATTTTTTATTTCTTTAAAAATACAAAAAATATACTTATATCAAAAAATTTATTGTATATTTTTATTTTATTGTACATGTATGAGTTATACAATATATCATATCAAATTATTTGACAAAATTAATAAAAATATAATAAAGAAAATTTATACAATACTTATTACTGTTGGTGTGAGTCCCATTATGTGGGAAACCATCCCCTTAAAAAAGGATTGTAACATAAAAAGTCATACAGATGTGGTGTAACTTAAAATGTAGTGCAACTATAAATTAAGTTGTAATTTAAAATGACAATCATAAAATAGGTTGTAACTTAAAATGATAACTATAAAATAGGTTGTAACTTAAAATGACAACAATAAAAGAGGAGAAAGTAAAATATAAAACTAGAGATTTATCATAAAAGAAATAGTAGTTTTGAAATATTTCTATCCAATTTGATGAGAATTGTTAAATACCTAAGATTTGCAAGGGAATGAGATTTCCAGGAATGTGATGAGGAAAAAACACTGTTAGTAATACTTCTTTTCCCTTTGGTAGGAATGTTTCTAAATCAAATATGGGTATATGATTCCGGAAAAGATTATTTCCGGAAAAGATTATTCTCCTTGGTAATAATCTTTTCTTTGATCCAAACACCCCCTTAAGTATAAATACAAGGAATAATGTCAAAATAACCACCTATGTTTATTAAAATAATTATTTTGGTTCATATTTTTTTAGCATGTTTGTCATAATATTTTTTTTTGAGGTAAAATTACTCAAAACATTTGATTGAATAATCACTTTTAGTTATATTATTTTTAAAACATTTTGGTCATCGATGTTTCATTTTATGATAAAAGTACCTATATTTTTTTAGCATTAACCATTTTTTAACTAACAATTTTCATCTATAGATAGGTCTTTTTATCATAAAATAAAATGTTAGAGGCACTAAAATGATTCAAAAATGGATAAAATTGATTTTTTTAATCAAAGGTTAACATTTTTTTTATATTATGCATAGATACAAACAGTGTTCAACTAGGTAGGTTTCGACAGGATTGGGTAGAACGGAGTAAATTTTAGTTGGACCCGGACCTGACTAAAATTGGTGTTTACATGGATTGTGAGACTTGTTGGCGAATTGAACCTTCTTGTAGCCGGTGATACAATGTACCGCCGATTCGTGCTCTTGTTGCAGTACACTACACCAAGTGCCATTTTCTTTGGGAGGCAACCAACACTAGTTTGAGGAGTTATTTGGTCAGTGAGGCTTCAGCTCTTCTCTTTTGGCAGAGCATTTGTTTGCCCTGTTTTCATTGTCAGTGATTCACTTTAACTTACCGCCCACCATGTTAGCTATGGAGATTTCGTTGGTTAATTTTGTAGGAAAATGTCATCTACATTGCTACTGTCCTCATTTCATCAAAGAAGATGCAATCTTTTATTTGCAGAATTTGGTGAAAACTTAAAAAAAACATTCTATGGGATTCTAAAACACCTTCAAAATTGCAATATCCAAATAATAATCCAAATTTATGATCAAAATCATTGTTAAGTGTATAAAAGTGTTATATTTTCTACCTTTCCCCCATAATTATTGCTAGATTTAGGCTCGGTTTAGTTGCATTATTAGTCATTTATGCATGATTTCATAGTTTCCTTCACCGTTAAGTTTGATATTATATTTTGGTTGATTTTTGTGGAAAAGATACTGTTGGTGTGTGTTAATTTGTGCAGATTAGGAATTTCCCTAGCAAGCAGAAAATTTCGTGGCATTTGAAGCTGACTTTTGAAAGGGTCTACCTCATTCAAGATAATCATGACACAAGGGGATACGCCCTAGAAAATTAGATATTCATGCAGAATTCAAGGAAGGAAAGAAGTCTTATTTGCAAGGGATTTGAGGATAAAAATAAGAGAGATTTATTACCTCTTTTATTAAAAGAGATTTATTACCTCTTTTTATTCCAATTAAAACTCTTCTTCATGAATAACCAAAGTTAACCTAATCATCCCTTATAAATAAGAAAGAGGTGCAACAAGAAAATGGGGTCGACTAGAGAGAAACATTGAGTGCAATATTCTTCTTTATTTCTTTTTCTTTTCGATTCATGTTATTGGGGAATCTTTATCTTGCATTTCTTTTGCACCCAACCACGAACTAAATTTAATTGGATTGGGTTGTTGGGATTTTGTGGTTGTGAAAGCTTTTTGGATTAGTTTGAATTCTAGATTGTCTTTTTAATTTGAAGTTTGTTCATTCTTGATTCTTTAATTGATTTCGAGTGAATTGAGACAGGATCTCGAGAGTTTATCCATTTATCTAATATCGAGAGAGTTAGTTCAAGAAACGAATAAGCATGATCTTCATTTGAACGAACGTTGGTGAAGGTTAATCCATCTTAGAAATAAAATTCGGATTTCAACGACTAAAATGAGCACAAGATCAGTTGTTGTTCACCCATGGTTAAAGCAGGGATGTATCAACAAGGCATGCATAATTGACTAGTTCTTTGAGTTAGGGATAACAAGAAAAAAAAATTGAAGAATGCTCTGCCGAGCTTTGAAGGAAGGAACCCAACTACTAAGGTAATTTAATTATTTTCAGTTGCCAAGGCAATCGAGTTGCCTCATCAATCAACTACTCAGATTTTTCAGACAGTTGTCACACCACTAATCATAATAATCAGGCCTGCTCTCTTATTCAATCTCAGTCTATACATTTATTTACTTGTTCATTTATTTTAATTGTTATTTCAAACTCCTACTATCACCAATTTCTTTTTTTTACAGTACAAGAAGTTAGAATATAGAGTTTCACCAATCCCTGTAAAAACGATATCTTTTTTATACTATACTTGCGACGTGTACACTTGCACCAATTGCGAAGGACTTAAATCATGCAACAAGTTTTTGACTCCTTTGCTGGGGATTGGCAACAGTGACTTTGATTTTTATTTCTTGCACCTTAATTATTAGTATTATTTTTTTTGTTTTTCATTCTTTTTTGGATTCAAGGTTCTTAAAAATTGTGGTTTTGCATCTGGGTATGACTAGGTTGAGACCAACATCACCATAATATCCATTTGAACTCGAAATAGAGCGAGTTCTTCACAGAAGAAGACGCGAGCAACGAGCAATAATGGGAGACCAACTCGTTGATCCAATTGGTGACCCTAATGCTATTGACAACTAGATAGCTGAAGCAAGAGGAGGATGAGCTTTAGTAGAACGACATGTTCAAGTAAGGAACAAGCCCATTCGAAACTACTTAGAGGAATATCTCAACAGTCTCAATCCCAGAGTTGTCACACCTGAAATAAAATTCACATACTTCGAATTAAAACCAGTAATGTTCAATATGATCAACACAATTGGTCAATTTGGCGGATCGACAACAAAAGATGCTAGACAACATCTCAAATTATTCTTGGAAATTTGTAATTCATTTAAGCAATAAGGATTCTACGAGAATGTACTAAGGCTGAAATTATTCCCCTATTTACTAAGGGATAGGGCAAAATCATAGTGGAATAGTATCTCATCGGGATCTCTAGCATCTTGGACGGGTTTATGCTATGATTTTCTTGCTATAGCTAGTTCTACAAATATGGTTGATAAATTGTGTAACGTTATTACTTCTTTTTGGCAGGAAGATGATGAATCCATGTACGAGGCTTGGGAGCAATACATGGAGCTTTTACACAAATGTCCCATGCACAGATTCCCAGTATGGATGCAAGTGACGATGTTCTATAACTCAGTGAATACGCCCACGAAAATGATGCTCGATGCTTCAGCAAATGACATACTTCTCGACAAGTCATCGGAGGAAACAATGGAGCTTTTGAATTGTCTTGCCAAGAATGATAATCAGTTCCCAAATACAAGAAGTCGAGGAGTCAGATGTAACACCACAATAAATGAGTTTGATTTAACGGACACTATCTTTGCACAATTGGTTACCTTAACCAACTTGATTAAGAATATGCAGCGACTAAACAATCCATAAGAGATCAAGGTAGTAAATTCCTTTTGCGAGTTGTATGATGGTAACCATGATTCTTTTGAGTGTCCATAGAACCGAGAATCTAGTTTCTATGTTGGAAACTATAACCGGAAAAAACAATGTGATGTCCAACACGTACACTCCAGCTTGGAATGAGCACCCTAATTTCTCATGGAGCAACCCGAACAATGCTCTCAATCAGAACAATAAGAATTCACAAGCATTGGGATTCCAATAGAATATGCCAAGGCAGCATATGCCGCAATAACAATCAACACCATCTAGTTCTTTGGAAAATACTCTCAAATCTTTTATGTTAAAAACTGAATTGTACATGGTTGAGAATAGTATTTTAATGAAAATGACTGACGCTTTCATGAATAGGACTGAGATGAGACTACAAAACCAAGAGGCAACTTTGAAATCCTTGGAGATACATGTCAGACAAGTTGCCCAGAATTTGAACAAAAGAATACTAGGCTGTTTACCCTGTGATACTGAGGCCGCAAAGAGAATAGGCCATGAGCAGTGTATGGTAATCACCACCCATGGATGAGAGCTAACTGAAATCCTTGCACAGCCTACGAAGAGAGCTCAACCAGTAAAGCAGATCTCTGTCCAAGAAGATACATCCAAAAACATTTCCCCATTCGATATTGATAAATCGAAGGATGCCCGGGCAAGCCCACATACCTCGACAATTCCAGATACAATGGCAAGTTCATTAATAAAATTCCAAACAGATGAGAAGAATGAAGAGTTCCAAATTCCACCACCATTCCCTCAGAGGCTGAAAAGATAGACACAAGAATACCAATTCAAGAAATTCTTAGACATATTGAAGCAAATTCACATAAACTTGTTGTTGGTTGAGGCGATCAAGAAAATTTTGAACTATTCTAAGTTCCTTAAGGAAATTGTCTCTAAGAGAATGAGGTTATGAGAGTTTGAAACAATTTATGCGACGGAGAGATGTATGGCCATGTTGCACAATCGAATGCCACTTAAACTAAAAGATAATGGTAGTTTCACAATACCATGTGTAATAAAAAAGTGCTACATCGGGAAGGCGTTATGCAATATTAGAGTGAGCATAAACCTTATGCCTAAATCTGTGTTCCAAAGATTAGGTATCGGGAAAGTGAGACCTACGATAATTATGCTACATCTTGCAGACATATCATATGTGCAACCAAAGGGAAAAATTGAAGATATACTGGTAAGAGTTGATAAATTTATTTTCCCGCTGGCTTCATTGTTTTGGATTGTGAAGCAAATGAGTTCGCACCTATTATCCTTGGAAGACCATTCCTAGCAATGGGAAGAACCTTAATTGATGTAGAAAGAAGAGAACCCACTGTGAAAGTGAACGACCAACAAGTCAAACTAAATGTTTTTCCAACCTTAACGCATGTTGATGATCTAGAAGAATGAAAAATCATTCATGCCACCACAAAATTCAATTTTGAAGTATATGAGAATTGCTACAAATATTCTAATATCGAACTGGAGGAAATTGAAAAACTGGACGACAGGGAGCAAGATGAAGCCCATTGGATAATAAACCGACTGGGTAAATATTTCAAACCATTAGAATCCTTATATAAGAAAGGCAAACTCGGAAAATCTTCTATTGAGCAACCTCCCATGTTAGAATTGAAACCATTACCGAGGAAATTAGTGCTTCCTTTCAATTCTAGGTTAAAACTTTTTTCGGGAAAACTGAAATCGAGATGGTTTGGGTCGTTCAAGGCAGTGAAACCTTTCTCCCATGGTGCCATAATAATCAAGTCCACCATCGACGTACATGAGTATAAAGTCAATGGACAACGATTTAAGCACTACACTGGTGCCCATGTTGAGTAAGACAAGGAATTGATTACTCTCGGAGAAGCATGAATATGCTCTCCTTTATTGTTGAATTTTTTCTTTTTATTTTTAATTTTTTAATTTTTATTTTAGTCTTTATATGTTTCATTTAGTTTTTCTCTTTATTAATATCTATCTTTTTTTATTTTTTTTATTTTAGGATACGAGTTCAAGAAGAGGAAGAGTTAGATGGAGTTTATCCTCTGAAGAGACTAGTGGGATGGTTTTGAAGGATTACCCTATTTAGTTTCACTCTACCTTTACTCTATTACCTTCTCATCCACTCTTGTTTGGAACATTTATTCTTTCATATTCTTTGAACTCTAAGTTTTTCTTTGATTTTCATTGTTTTCTTCCTACTTTACAACCTCGCAAGAACTCATGGCAACAAAATTTAAAACGTGAGACATAAGGATTCGAGCGAACCACCAACAACACACTCAAAATCACCACAAGCCAACAAGTGAATCAAACAAACAACTCGAAAGACACTCATCAGTCAAGGTGACAACCTTTCTGACTAACCCTTTCGTTTTGCATGTATTGAGGATAATGCTCCTCTCGAGTTTGGGGGGTGTTGTTCATTTTGTTATAATGCATTTATTATGTCATGTTTCGTGTTTTTGAATTATTTGTGTCATTCATTCAAGCTTTCCATGACATTCACTCTTCATGACATTTAGACAAATAAGCAACTGTCGAGCCTTTGTACTTACCTATGATGAGATAATTTCCGATAGCATTTTTTTATGCATAGAATCTTAGGACTAAGAGATAATTTGAGATTGCATAAATGATTCTTGTGATGCTATAATTGTTTACATAATGTCATTTTTGGTTGACTTGTGGGTATTTTGGCAAATATTTAATTATCCTGCATATCTTTGTTAAAGTTATATGTGAATTACTAAAGGTGATCAACTGGCTATTGCTAAACAAATTGCCACAACTACTTTTTAGCTCTAGAACACTCCGCTACTAAAGCAAGTTTAGTACGCTTAGTGAATACTAAGTAAGAAAGATAGTCGTGTAAAGAATGAGTGAATGAAAGTCTTCATGGGATGACTCTAGGGTTCGTTGTTGACAGCATCTTACTACTCAAGTACTCGTAGGTAGTTATAATAAGCTGAAGCTCTAATTAAGCTAAATAGTAATTACTGGTGAACCTTCTCGACTAAGAGCACACACTGACACGAGCATCATTGGTTGAATTGAGTTAATTTCTTGTTGTCTCGAGGTTTGAAGGTGATTGGCAGAAAATTATTAGGTTTTGAGGTAACAAGTACAAATCAAGTGTAAGAGTGATGTTGTCTAATGGCTCTGAGAAAATGGATGTCATGCATTGCTTGAGGACAAGCAATAATTTGAGTTTGGGGGTGTGAAAAATATATAAAAGTATTATACTTTCTACCATTTTCCCATAATTATTGCTAGATTTAGGTTCTGTTTAGTTGCATTATTATTCATTTATGCATGATTTCATAGTTTCCTTCACTGTTAAGTTTGATATTATATTTTGGTTGGTTTTTGTTGAAAATATGATAATGGTGTGTAAGTTAATTTGTGCATAATAGGAATTTTCCTAGCAAGCAGAAAATTTCGTGGCATTTGAAGTTGACTTTTGAATGGGTCTACCTCATTCAAGATAATCACGGCACAAGGGGATAAGCCCTAGAAAATTGGATATTCATGCAGAATTTAAGGAAGGAAATGATTCTTATTTGCAAGGGATTTAATGATAAAGATAAAAGAGATTTATTACTTCTTTTATTAAAAGAGATTTATTACATCTTTTATTCCAATTAAAACTCTTCTTCATCAATAATTAAAGTTATCCTAATTATCTCCTATAAACAAGAAGGAGACGTAACAAGAAAAGAGGGTTGACTAAACAAAAAAAAGTTGAGCGCAATTCTTTATTTCTTTTTCTTTTCGATTCATGTTATTGGGGAATCTTTATCTTGTATTTCTTTTACACCCAACCATGAACTAAATTTAATTAGCTTGGGTTGTTGGGATTTTATGGTTGTGAAAGCTTTTTGGATTAGTTTGAATTCTTGATTGTCTTTTTAATTCAAAGTTTGTTTATTATTGGTTCTTTAATTGATTTCGAGTGAATTGGGAGATGATCTCGAGAGTTTATCCATTTATCTAATATCGAGATAGTTAGATTCAAGAAACCAGTGAGCATGAATTCATTTGACGAATATTGGTAAATGTTAATTCATCTTAGAAATAAGATTCAGATTTCAATGGCTAAAAAGATCACATGATCAATTGTTCACTCATGGTTAACGCATGGATGTATCACCAAAGTATGCACAATTGACCATATCTTTGAGTTAGGGATAACAAGAAGACATTGAAGAACGCTCTGTCAAGCTTTGAAGGAAGAGACCCAGTTGCTAAGGCAATTGAATTATTTTCAGTAGTCAAAGCAATCGAGTTGTCTCGACAATCAATTACTTAAACTTTCCTTATAGTTATCATATCACTAATCATAATAACCCGACTTATTCTCTTATTCAATCTCAGTTTATACCTTTATTTAATTGTTCATTTATTTTAATAGTTATTTCAATCTCCTACGTCACTAATTTATTTCTTTTTTACATTTCAAGAAGTTAAACTGCAAGTTAAAATACATAGTTTCACCTTTCGCCAATCATTATAGAGACGATATTTTTTTATATTATAATTTGACGACGTATACACTTGCACCAATTGTGAAATACTTGAATCACACAACAATCAACGTAATAATTGACATACATAGTTCATCGATACTATCTGTCAACACACCTTTTCGTCCTACTAGAATTCAAACTCCTAAAGATATGATAGAAT